GTGTGTGTGTGTGTGTGTGTGTGTGTGTGTGTGTGTCAGTAGCATGTTAGCTCTGTGCAGACTGTCAACATGTTTTTAGATTACTGGTCAACACCAAACTTCACCAGTTCAATGTCAGATATTCACCAGAATCCAAGTTCAGCGGCTTCGCCTCCACATGTGTTTAGAAGTGAAGAGGAGTATTTGATCAGTCTGCTGAGTGTCAACTATTTAAACTCGTGGTAGTTGTCGTTAGTTTTCACGGGGACGTGATTAACTCACAAGTGAGGACCTGCTGTTTCACTTGAAGCGTTTGAGTTACGTGGTTATTGATCAAATCCTCAGTCAGTTAAACTTAACAGCAAATGTCTTGATAACTGATGAACTGTTGATGTCACTTTTCAGGCAAACATCACGGAGCAGGTGATTCATTTTACAGGAGAGTAAACTGCTTCAAGCTGTCGGCTGCTATGGAGACGAAAATATTGATGCAGACAATTTATATGTCGACTAATTTATCTGCACTTGAATAAATACAACTTCAATATCACTAAACTAAGAATTTCTTAAATGACTGTGAATGTGTATGAGGTAAAATATGTTTACGTGTCTCAGGCTGCCCTTGTTGTGTGTCGTCCAGCTGATGTTTGTGAGTTTTGAAGTAGTTTGCCGTGATGTTGTTGGTCTCTGCTCGCCCTTCACTGTCTCACGGCTCTTTTCTCTGTCTCCTCTGTTCAGAACCAGGGAAACATAAACACAGGAAATGCGAGCGGCCCCTTAGCTCTCAGCCATCAAAGCCTGTGATTGTTCGCCCGGGCTCCAAAAGGTACGAGCTCCCCTCTGAAGCTTTCCTTCATTATCCCTCTCACTCCTCATCCACTCACTCACACAGCGAGCTTCACTTCAGTCCTGTGTACTTGGGGATGTTTCAGAGCCTGAAGCCTGGTCCGACATTGTACCGCTGAAGTGTTCTTAAGAAAGACACTGAATCCCTCTGGCCTCCATGTTTTTTTAGCTGAGCATCACCCTCGTGTGAAGGGATGAGGGTCACTTGTTTAAAAAAAAAAAAAAAGTTTCATTACATAAATTGAAGTCACTTCTAAATAGTCCAGCCCTTCAAAATAAATTACTAAATAATCTCCAAAAGGTCATAAAACCTGAGTAGTCGGACAACAGCTTTTCTAGATGATCTGAACCTGGTTCTGATCGAGATCTGCCTTTGACCATGAAATCTTTAAATACACAACTTCAGTCAGGGCACAAAGTCAAAGCTGAAGCAGGATGTGTGTTGACAACAGAACATTTGGACGATCATTTTACATGTTGTCTTCCAGATGAGTCTGTCTGCCACCTGTCTGATCATGTGACTGTTCATCTTTGACTTCTCTGACGTCTTTTTCATGGTTAGAGGAGCAACTATTCTTCACTTGGTGCTTTTCTCTGTCATGTATGATTGTAATTTCATTCTCTCTGGGTTCTGGACTGTTCGTTTGACAAAAGGAGTAATTGTAAGATGTTTTTCAAGCTCTGGGAAATTTAGCTTTCTCAGAGTTTTTTGACAGTTTATAAACTGAACAGGGAATAAGGTGAGGGACCCACAGGTCCGATCTTCATGGAGCACAATGTTAAAACAAGACGCAGGTGAACTCAAACAATCCTCTCACCATTAACTCTCCAGGGCTGTTACTAATATTAATGTATAAATAATGTGTAATATTTATTTTCACAATGAGACCAGGAATGTAACGTCATGAATCTACTGATCAGTATTTAATAATAATAACAAAAATATGAGAAGTGAACAAATTGCCCACCTTCCTCTATTGAAGTACACGATGTGGCCAATTGTACGTGAAGACAAATGTGCACATGGGTGTAAAGTTTTGGCGTCTGCGTATCTGTGGCCGTGATTGAAGGTATTGAACATTCGCAGAAGTTCTTGCATGTAAAAGACGTATAAAAACAAAGAAGACGTTCATGCTTTAACGTGGTGGTTGTGTTGGCTTTGTCGTTCAGGTGATTGACGCACAGAAAAGGGACTTTATTAGGATCTACTGGACACAAGGGGCACTGTCCTCTGATTGGCTCGGACAACCCCACTGACATGCCCGTGGCCAATCAGAGGTGAGTGTATGTGTGTACATTAGCACTTGAAATGAATGAGTTCCTGTGGGTGTGTGGAGGACGTGTTTGTCTCTTGTCTTTTTTTGTGCATAAAAAATTTGTTCAAAATGAATGAAATGTGTGTTTTCATCTTTTCTGTCTGATTCGTGTGTGTGAGTGTGTTTTAAGGATTCTCTCTCTTTATCCTCCACTGATCTGACTGTTGCAGTAGATGTGGAGATTTCCCAGTGTGTCGGAAAGAGTCACACACTTTATGTTTGGCGGCGAAAGAACCACCGCTTGTTAGAAGCAGCAGCTGAAGTGCTGAGCTTTGAATGCTGAACGCCCTCTCAGTCCCAGACTTACAGTTTCCAGCAGCACTCGTACAAACTCGATCATTTCCCTGAAGAGACTCACGTGTTTGTATTTGCTGAATTTATTTTTCAGTTTGTTCTAGTTCATCCGTGCACTAGACATCTGCAGCCAGCGTCAGTGTTTCACCCTGTGGTAACACCGCACCCTCTCTCCCTCTGTCCGGCTCCTTCCTCTCATTCACTCCTCAGGTGTGTGATGTCGGGGGCGGATGTGGAGGTGTACCTGTCCCAGGTGCACGATGGGAGTGTGTCGTCGGGGTTCCGGGCGCTGTACGAAGAGCGCTTGCTGCTGGACGTCACGCTGTTGATAGAGGAGCACCACTTCCAGGTACGCAAATGTTTGATCCAGGATCGAACGTGGCATTTTATATCCCCATCCATCACTCACATGTTCAGAAAACTAGTTTAAGGATCAGACTAGAAAATAGAAAAGCACCGTATGTGTCTGTGCATGTTAGATTTGTGTATAATGTTTGTTCTCATTTGTTCCAGTAATAAATGTTCTTCTCCTGCAGGCCCACAAGGCGCTTCTGGCCACACAGAGCGACTATTTCCGGGTCATGTTCACAGCAGACATGAGGGAGAGGGACCAGGACAAGATCCACATGAAGGGGCTGACGGCCGCTGGGTTCGGCCACATCCTCCGATTCATGTATTACGGCTCGTTGGAGCTCAGCATGCCCACTGTCCAAGAAATCCTGCAGGTAGCGTACGAGAAAGAGGTTTCTGTTCATGTCACATTAGATGTTTTCAAATTAAAATAAAAATATCTCAGGAGACACACGAACTTCGAAAAAGTCCAGACACAATTTTCTGGACATTTTTCAGAAATCGTGTTGCTCCTGAGATATTTGTATTTTAATTTGTTTCACATTTGCCTCTATCACATATTAGAAACGCTGTGAATCCTCTGGACGTTTTCCTGCTGAAGTTTCACATGGGCTAATTTCTGCTAACTAACTCCAGAGAATGTCCAGAGTCTCTGACTCACATCCAGCTCCTCTGGATACTTTTAAGAGATTGTCCTGAGTTCAGTGCAGGTCACAGTAATCATGCTTCTTCTCCCTCACGCTTCGTCTTCCTGTCCCGGCAGGCGGCGATGTACGTCCAGCTGACGGAGGCGGTGGAGTTCTGCTGCTCCTTCCTGTTGGCCAAGATCTGTCTGGAGAACTGTGCCGAGGTCATGCGGCTTCTGGAGGACTTCAGCGTAGGCGTGGAGGGCGTCCAGGAGCAGCTTGACAACTTCCTACTTGACAACTTTGTCCCCCTCATGAGCCGACCCGACTTCCTGTCCTACCTCAGCCTCGAGAGACTGCAGGTCTGATTGTTGAACAAACACTCGAAGCCACAAATGACTCACAGCAAAGCACAGCTATAAATACACTTTCAGACATTCCTGTTCCACGTCAGTGAGTTCTGTCTGCAGATCTATCGACAACTATATGTTGATATGTAGCAGTAGTTTAAATCCGATTACTACAAACAGCATCACCTGAATGTATTTTATAAACATTAACAAAAACCTTTATTCAAATCTCATCACTTAGTGTTTTTAAAGAATGTATAGTGAGGACATTGAGATATTTCACAGAAGGGCTGAGCGATATTACTTCAAATCAATATCATGATTATTTCACACTTTTACCTCGATAACAGTTAATGAACGATTATTTTAATATGTGAACTGTGTGTGCAAAATGTTTTCTCTGTGTTTAAATACACGTCTCACAAACTGAAGAGCGAGTCAAACAAACACAGAGTAAACTTCAGGGACTGTTCAGGTCTGAATAACTTCTCACTGGTTGAGTCTTTTTAAATGATTCACTCACAAGTGAACCTGTGGTAACATTTGCAAAATTCGCCTCTGAACCAGGCGTACCTGAACAGCGATGCTCTGAGCCGCTTCCCAGAAATCGAGCTGTACGAAGCGGTTCAGGCGTGGCTGCGACACGACCGGCGGCGCTGGAGGCACACGGACACCATCGTGCAGTCCATCCGCTTCTGTCTCATGACGCCTGCCAACATCTTTGAGAAGGTAAGTGCCGACGCAGACTGAGGCTGATATTGTGTGTTGCAGTCTGGCGCATCGCCGGTGTCCTTCCTCTCTCCTCTTCCCCCTCCACAGGTGAAGACGTCAGAGTTTTACCGTTACTCCCGACAGCTGAGGCAGGAGGTGGACCAGGCGCTCAGCTACTTCCACGATGTCAACCAGCAACCTCTGGTGGAGACGCGCTCCAACCGCATCCGCTCCGTCCGCCCGCAGACCGCCGTCTTCAGGGGGATGATCGGCCACAGTATGGTCAACAGCAAGATTTTGCTGCTGCAACGCCCAAAGGTGTCTGCCCGTTTTTTTCTGTGCTGGAAAGCCACGTTTGAATAGAAGGAATTGTTTCGCTTCCACTCGTTAGGGAGCACAACTGTGATCCCTCAGACGTTTTACATGATCTGATCTGAAAACAGTGTTTGACTGGGGCTCAGTAATCAGTGTTACGATCCCTCAGGTGTGGTGGGAGCTCGAGGGACCTCAGGTGCCGTTACGACCGGACTGCCTGGCCATCGTCAACAACTTTGCCTTCCTGTTGGGCGGAGAGGAGTTGGGGCCCGACGGAGAGTTTCACGCTTCCTCCAAAGTCTATCGCTACGACCCTCGACAGAACTCCTGGCTACGCATGGCGGACATGTCTGTGCCCAGGTTAGAGCAGCGTTTATTTATTTTCTTGCTCTATTGTCACTTTCAATTTAAAAGTGATTTTTTTTTTTGCAGCTACTCCGACTTTCTTTTTATCAATGAAACATTTGTGGATCCATATTCGTGCTGCTTGTTGTTTGCAGGTCGGAGTTTGCCGTTGGCGTCATCGGTAAGTTTATTTATGCTGTGGCGGGCCGCACGCGAGACGAGACCTTCTACTCCACAGAGCGCTACGACATCACAGAGGACCGCTGGGAGTTTGTGGACCCGTACCCTGTAAACAAGTACGGTCACGAGGGAACGGTTCTGAACGGGAAACTGTACATCACTGGAGGAATCACCTCCTCCTCCACCTCCAAACAGGTGTGTGTGTTCGATCCAGGGCGGGAAGCTGGAGGTGGGGGAGGTGGGGGAGGAGGAGGGGGAGGCAGCTCGGGGGGCTCGGACGTACACAGGACACGCACTGGCAGGGGACCGCTGCTGCCCGGCACTCAAGCCAGCTGCTGGGAGAACAAATCCAAAATGAACTACGCCCGCTGCTTCCACAAGATGATCTCTCACAACGGGAAGCTGTACGTGTTTGGTGGTGTGTGCGTGATCCTGCGGGCGTCCTTCGAGTCGCAGGGCTGCCCGTCCACCGAGGTGTACGACCCAGACACTGACGAGTGGACCATCCTCGCCTCCATGCCCATAGGGCGCAGCGGCCACGGGGTGGCGGTATTGGACAGGCAGATCATGGTGCTGGGTGGCCTGTGTTACAACGGCCACTACAGTGACTCCATCCTCACCTTCGACCCCGACGAAAACAAGTGGAAGGAGGATGAGTATCCCAGGATGCCTTGCAAACTGGACGGTCTGCAGGTGTGCAGTCTGCATTTCCCAGAGTATGTGCTCGAGCACGTCAGACGCTGCAGCTGAGGTCTGCTCCACAGTAAGCCTCCTTTTTATAGAAACGAGATGCACTGATCGACGACTGCAGTCTCCTGCTGTGACGTCAGGTTTTTACAGGCGGGAGAGACTCACCTGACGTGCAGGCTTTTAAACGAGAGATCAGCACTTACCCAGGGCGAGGAAAAGGTTGACTCTTCTTCATGAAGGCAGTTCAAGCTTGGCGTGGTGAGTTGCCACAAACAGTCAGCTGGAACATTTTCAGAATTAGCTTTCTCAGAAAAATAAGGAAAACTAATCGTGGGGAGAAAAAAAAGTTTCATTCTGCTGGTTTATGTTTGGACTGTGGTCAGTTTCCTGTTCTACTCACTGACTGTATCTAGGCTGTCGTGTCAGGCTCACTGCAGAAACGCACTGGAAGCGTCAGAATCACTCATTCACCACGTAAACGTGTGTTTGGATTTTATTCTATTTAAATCCAGACGTACCTCCTGTATATCTTTAATCAATTAGGTCGCTAGTTAGCTAAAGCAAACCTCTGACCGCGGCTATTTCAATCAAACAATACTAATAGTATATATAACAGCATACAATGAGGTATATAAACTAACTATAACACTATATACTGTAGTGTAGTTCATTTTAGAGCCTGTTTCCAGATATATGAAGCAGACTGTTGAGACACAGCGACATCGTTCCAGATTCTGCTTCAGTTTACCACCAGCTGTACAATTTCAGGTAAATTCAGGTTTCGCTTCCAGTGCGTTCCAGCTTTTTAGCCCAAACTCTGCTCGTTACTTCCAGATATCCACGATACTGTGCTCATGTTCGCACAACGTCTTTTTGCGCCCCCCCCCCCCC